GCAGCCATGCTTTTATTTTGGGGTTTTCAACCCTTTTTATAAGGTGTTCCGATACAGGTTAACCTGATTGGTACAAGGAACAACATCTCTCTCATCCCATTGGTAGGACAAGAGAAAAACACTTTCAGAACATCTGTGTCATTGCTTTGAGAACTAAAATCTTATTTATACAAAAGTCCTTGAGAGAGAAAAGTTTCCCAAAAGACTTTCCCTTGGGAAACAGATCAGCCACTGAGAGCCTGAAACTCTCTCAGGTTCAGAAAATCATGTCCACAGGCAAGTGCTCATACACAATGCCAAGTAGGATCTGTATATCCATTAATCAGTCCCTTCCAGGAATCCCTCTCCATGGAAGCATTTGAATTAGCTTAGCAAGGCAGAGAAAGTTTCCATTCAGCCTCTGAATGAAGCCAGCATTGACCAAAGAACAGAAATTATCTGAGCTCCTCACAACACAAGTAGCTGGTTTCTGCTGCAGCACTTTCATTTCATTTCATTTCATTTCATTTCATTTAATTTCATTTCATTTCATTTCATTTCATTTCATTATTTCATTTCATTTCATGGTCTATATAGGCAAAAAGTTTGCTTTTCTCCATCTTTTCTTCTTTTTCTGTTCTGCAAGTTGGTCAGAACACTCTGACATTAACTGGAGTTTAAGCCATGTACACTTTTAGGACAATTTAACATGAAACACAGTTGGCTGATCTGATGTGTTAATCTTTTAAGCCCTTCTGAGTAACAGAGCCAGTGAGCAAAGACTCCACAGATTTGGCACTGCAGACCACAAAGGGATCTAAATATTTAACATTATCTAAACTGTTGTTGAACAGGATTAAAAGATTTTAAAAGATGGAGCACCAGCAAACCTACTTGCCAAAGTCTCCAGCCTTTCAAGGACTTGGCATTGCTCCAGCTACACAAGAAATTAATAAAGATGCACAAAACATTAAACTCCTTTCATTCTTTTCTTTAAATTCTTTCTAACAGATCAAATAAAAAAAAAAAATACTGATTTTGAAGAAAAGGGTCCAAATCAGCTAATTTAAAATTAGGAAATGTTACCAAACAATATTTAACTAATGAAAAAGACATAATGCCATTAAACCTATATTTATGTGTTATCCTAAAGGTACACTGACCAAGAACCTGTGACAAAAATCTGCCAGAACTCACCTTTGGAGTTCTCTGCCTGGAAGGAATCCCATCAAGAATAGCAATGGCATCTTTATCTTGCTTCAGCATTGTGTAACATTCTGCCATTTTGTATTTCACCTCAATTTCTGATGGTAAACACTGAAACAAAAAAAGAAAATATGATGTTGGTTAAATCAGGTATGGCTTTTAATGAAGTTTCCTCATAAATATTTATATTGTGTTGAAAAGTATCTGGTACACGTAAGTTAACAACACAACTCGCTGCTAGTTCATACTGTTCCTGTCTTCAAATTAAAAGTATGAAGTACACATACAGAAAAATTTCATGTTGGAGACCATTTTAAATTTTGCATTAGAAAACACCACAGATATTATCAAACTGATTAGCCTTAAATGTCAGGTTTATTTGACATGATAAATGCACATTCTAAGGTGGTTAAAAGACATGTAAAGGTGATGTTCATGGATGTGGTTAGTGATGGATTTGGCAGGGATTCTGTCATAAGGATCTCTTCCAGCCTCAGTGACTCTGTGAATACTGAGTCAGCAACATTTATTGGAAGGGGAAACATGATCACTTGATGCAGGACATTATCAATTCTTAAATACCTGGCTTTGGGGTGTTGATGCAGCATTCCCAGTAGAAGGTCTGACTTTGGAGGTTTTACTTAAGGCTTTTTTCTGCTGTAAGGCCATGGTGTACTTGCTGACAGCATTCCTGTATTCCTTGTCATGGAAGAGGGAGTCTGCATGATAGACAAGGAGCTGGTATTTCTGAGAAGGAGAGAACAGTTCCCTAGGAGAAATGCAGACAGAAAGGCTGAGATCAGATGGCTGCACAAGAATCAAAACCTTACAGATCCAAAGTACTTGTAGTTTTGATTTGTCTGGCTTCAACTTGCAACTGCTGCATCTTCTTTACTGCACTGGAAGGACCATTGAGTAACAGCACTGACTCCTCACACAGGGGTTATCTCGACAATTTCTTTTATCCAAAAACAAACAAATCCAATAGCCACTCCTGACACCTCATCAGCACAGCAGCTCAGTGTTTGGCTGCTTGGCCACTGCCCCCATCCTTTCTGTAACAAGCCACAGGCTGTCAATGTCCCTGACACTGCATCAACTTTCTCCTAGGATTCATTCACCTTTTGTTAGGTAAGGATTCAGCATTTTGCCTGTTCAAACTTCAGAACAGAGTATTGCTTGAATGGACTCAAGTTTAAAAGGCAGCCTAGCTCCTTGTACAGCTGTTGTGGTCCTAATCCCTATTCCAACATTATGCAGACCCCCTTTAGAACATTCTTAGTACGTGTGCAGACCTAATGACCTGGGGCCTTCCAGGACCTGAAGGGAGCCAACAAAAAGCATTGAGAGAGACAATTTTACAAGGGCCTGCAGTGCCAGGACAAGGGGGAATGGCTTCACACTGACAGAGGGCAGATTCAGATTGGATTCTGGGGAAAAATCTGTGAGGGAGGTGAGACCTTACCACAGGATGCCAGAGAAGCTGTGGCTGCCCCTGGATCCCTGGAAGTGTCCAAGGCCAGGCTGGACGGGACTTGGAGCACCCTGGGATAGGGAAAAGTGTCCCTGCCCATGGCAGGAGGGGTGAAACAAAACGATCTTCAAGGTCCCTTTGGTGATTCTGTGATTCTCTGCTAGGACACCCATTTCGGAGCGGGCACCCCAAAGGGACGCTGATGCTGATACGGGAACAGAGGTGGGCTCCATCCCTGGCAGGGACAGGGCAGGGGCAGAGGACAGGACAAGAGAGGAGAGGGACAGGGCAGGACAGGGACAGGAGAGGGACAGGGCAGGGACACCCCAAAAGCGGCCCCGCTCCCCCCACACTCGGCGCGCGCCCCCTGCCGGCGGGGCACTCACGGGTTGTTGCCGCTCATGGTGAGGAGCAGCCCGCTGAGCAGCCGCACGTTCGAGTGCAGCCCGGCGGCCGCCATCTCCCGCACGTGCTCCACCACACTCATGCTGC